CTTGACAGCCTCAAATATCATGTCAATTAGAATAAAAAATTATTTGGGCTAAATATCAAATTCTGCAAAAAAAATCATGTTTGACGGTTCCTCTTTAATTGTTATTAAAGTAAATCTTTATTTTCTACAGTGATAAGGAGTCAAAAATCATTGACTACCAAACGCAGCAACAAAAGTTGTTTCCGCTTCTTGCTACATGCTACGCCATTCATTTCATGGTAAAATACGTCAACAAAGTTTACAACGATGTGTCCAAGATGATTAAAGCAGAAAATTTTGACTCACTCCCAGAGGTACGGTACAAATTGTTATACAAGGAGGATGTGATATTTTTTTCCTAATATGAAACACAGGGGGAAATATATCAATATGTACTAACAGTTTTTACATCTACGCTTCAGTAGATTTTTGGAGCAATTTATTCAATTTGTCATGCGTTTTCAACTTTTGCATCACTTTTGAAAAACCATCACTTTAGAATATATAGAATGCCAGCGGTGCCCCTGTCTGCAGAAGTCTGGTGCTTCCAGTTTGAAGAATCTCAGAAAAGTGGAAGGACTGGGGCTGGTCTAAGACATTCTGCTGCCTGGGTTGAGGATGAAGTGCTGCCCCCCCCCTTACCCACCACCACCACCAAAACCATGCCCATATCCATAATGTTATGTTGTGTGTATTGTATGCAGTGTGTGTAGTGAATGCATTGTGTGTGTTTGTGTAGTGCTTGCCGTGTCTGTGTGTGGTGGATGCAGAGTGTGTGTGTTTCTAATGGATGTAGTGTGTGTAGTGGGTGCAGCGTCTGTGTTTGTGTAGTGCATGCAGTGTCTGTATATTGTATGCATTGTGTGTGTTTGTGTAGTGGATGCAGCACCGGTGCAAGCATCTTTGACTACTCAGACAAAGATGCTTATTCTCCCCCACCAAATGTTTTTTTTTTTTTTTAAATCTTCATTTATGTGTGCCTTTGCATGTGTCATTGTCCTTTGCCCCAGCCACTCTGTGTGTGTGTCATTGGTCCCTTACACAGCCCCTCTGGGTGTGTCATTGTCCCCTACTCTAGTTCCTCAGTGTGGCATTGACCCCTTCTTCAGCCCATGTGTCTCATTGGCACACCCAGAGTGGCTGGAGAAGGGGACAATGACACACACTGAGATGCTGGGAAAGGGTATAATGACACAGCATGGCTGGAGAAGGGGAGATTGTCTGTGTGTCAATCTCCCCTTCTCCAGCCACTCTGTGCCATTGTCCCCTCTCCTAGCACCTCTGTGTGTCATTGCCCCCCTTCTCCTGCCCCTCAGTGTGTGTCAGTGTCCCATTCTCCAGCCCCTCAGTGTGGCATATTGTCTCCTTCCCAAAGCCCTTTTGAGTGCCCTTCTGTCTCTTACCTGCTTGTGTGCCTGCTTACCTCCCTTCATGTAGTGTGGCTGAGCAGACCGTGTAGTGGAGCTTCTTTTTCCTCAGGATTGGCAGGAAGCTGTTCGATGCTCACTGTCACGGTACATGAAGTCACCAAGTTATTGAACACCCCGAGATCCGGTGCACCCTTATATAGCATCAGCCCAGAGTGGATGTAGTGTGTGTTTGTGTAGTGTATGCATTATTTGTGTAGTGAATGCAGTGTCTGTGTGGTGGATACAATGTCTCCAAGTGGAATCAGTCTCTGTGTAGTGGATATTGTGTCTGTGTTTGTTGGATGCAGTGTGTGTGTAGTGGATGCAGGGTCTGTGTTTGTTAATTATATTTTTATTGGATATTATCAAGTGGGTTTCTTGCAGGGCACAAATTTGTACCCGATTTAAAAAAATAAAAAAAAAATAAAAAAATAATTATCAGGTAATCCACAATTATACACCTTTTACATGGTGTGTTGATCCATTTATTGAGGTCAGCTTAAATTGTATTTTCTTATTTGTTCTTGAGGCTCTCTCTCTCTCCAAATGTTACCAAAGTTTTATAAAAAAATTAGAAAAAAAATCTTTATTTGTGCCTACATATAAATATGACGGGGTGATCCCAAGCGATGGTATCAACCTAAGTCAAGCGTGATGTATGGAAAAAAAAAAACACCATATTTGGTGTCTCGAGTAATACAAAACATTACTCAGATATAGTTCCCTCGTATCATGTGGGAAAAGCGTGCTGAGGGTGTTTCGATCCAGGGAGAGCCTACCTTAAGGCACCAAAAAAAAAAAAAAAAGAAAGACAAATAGGGTTCCAAATATGGGAAGAAGTAGGGACAAAGGGAAACCCTGTAAATCTAAACCCTATACCCTTTCAGCTTTTTGTTGAGTCAATCGTTATATAAGTGTAATAACTCACTATTTTTTTCTTCTTCATTGTGCAAAAACTTGCACTGCACAGTTAATGGGAGTAATCTTCCCTTCATGTGATATAATAATTTTCATGGGGAACCCCCATAAGTAATTAATATTGTTCTGTCTTAGAATTAGTGTGCCATCAGAAAAGGTCTTCCTCTTTTGTCTGGTTTGCCATGACAAATCCTGAAATATTTTCAGTGTTTTGTATTCCTCTGCGCATTCATTACTTCTTTTAGCTCTTAAAATTTGTGTCTTAATTTTAGAGGAGGTGCAGCATATCAGTACATCTCTTGGGAGATGTTCTGGTACACCCTTAGGTTTATTCACTCTTTCCATGTTGGGAATTCTGGGGTCCCATTCCACTTTCAGATGTTTTAAAAAAAAAAAAAACTCATATGTCTCCAGATTTTTAGGATTGATTTGTTCTGATACTCCTCTGATTTCTTAAATTGTTTCGTCTTGACCGGTCCTCTAGGTCTATCAATTTGTACTCCATGTCAGCCATCTTTTTTCCCAGCACCTTATGTTCTTCTTTCTGGACTTTTTCCTTGTGTTCCAGCCCATCAATTTTTTCTTCTTTTCTTCTATTTCTTGGAATTGTTGATTACGAGACAGCAGTTCCTTCTAAATGTCTTAATGTCCAGAGTATTAGCTTGGATTTCTTCTCTCAATTTTCCAATATCTAAGTGTGTAAGTAGGTGTTCATATTCATTTCTTCCTCTCTTGACTCTTGGTTTTCCTCTGTTTGTCCTTTATTATTGGCTCCCTCTGATGGGATATTTGAGAGAATAGATTCCTCCAGTTTTGATTTAGTATCTGATGGGTTTGTCGAGAAGAAAGAAAGGCGTTTGCGGTTTTACTTTCAGGCTTCTTTTCCTTTTTTAGGTGTTTGCTGTTTTGTGGTTTTTTTTAGTAGCCATTATTTTTTACAATTATTTATTCTCTTTCTGGAGGTTTTATGCCCTTTATACCCTCTAGACTAGTGCTTTTTTGGTTTTAGTATAGTATCTTTTTATATCTTATGTTTCCTTCTCCCAAAGCCCCTCTCCTCCTCACCTTTGTCCCAGTCTTCTCCTCTCCAACCTAATAAACAGTTAAGTTTTATCTTTTTATTCTATTATACGTTCCCTTATTCCTATCTTTGTGGGGTATTGGAATAACCAAACTAACCACACTAAATATCAGAAATAGGGGACAAGTATAAGGTGGTATGATGCAACAAACAAAAAGACAATCCGGAAAAAGACAAAAGAAAAAGCTTAAGGGAACACAAAGGCCCTCAGGGCACATTAACTCAATTTACTACTGACCGTCGTCAGTCGGTTCTATGCTATATGCAAAGATTAAATTGGGTTAAATAATCTTTAAGTCATATATTGCCCTTTGATGCTGCTCTCTTATGTTGTTTTCACCTCTATTCTAGAAGTCCTCTAATCTTTAGGAGGCCCAGTGTTTATACTAGCCTCTGCAGAGTGTAAACAAAAGTTGTGTGTTTGGATACTGGCTTGCTATGGAGGCTTGGCGTTACTTGAAAAGTACATACCAAAAAGAGTTGTGCTGGGTTAAAAACTGTGGATGAAAACCAGGGGTTTTCATTGGTATGTACTTTTCAAGTAACGCCAAGCCTCCATAGCAAGCCAGTAAAAACCACATGCTGATAAGTAGCATTAACAACGAAACAGCTGTCCATGAGTGGTTCACTGGCTTTGCTCCTCTTCCTGAGCTGTGTTTTTAAAGCTGTTGTATACAGCAGACACATACTCCAAGGATCCATGTATAAAGTGTAATTATGAGGCAAAAATGCGCTCATTTGCATACGTCTACCCAGAATCCCTTGCAGTAGTGAGAGCACTGTTAAAGTTGCAAGTCTTATGGCTTGACTAGTGTGTATTTGAAGTTTAGCAATGTTTTTA